CGCAGCCACAACATGCCAAGTGGGCCGACTTTTTAGGTGGCGTTCACTGGCTCGTCTCGGCGTACCTCACGGAGGGGCCGATGTGTCGCACCTCGACGCTGACGGGAATTACAAGCGGCAACACGCTGCGCTAACATGACCAACCTGATGCAACATTTGCCATAAAGGCGGCGGACGATCGCGCACCCAAAAAATATTCCACACAGATGGCGGCCATGTCGCTAAAACCACCAAATATTGCAAACACGCAAATCATTGGCCTCAGAGCACAATCGCTAGCTTGCTCAATTAGAATTGCCTTTTTTTAAATGTCCTTGCTAATGCCTACATTTTTTTTTAACAATTATTTTGTTAAATAAAAGTTGCTGGACAGTCCCGGGGCGCTTGTGTCTTGTGCCTGTAATGGGCAGCATTTTTCACAGCCCCGGCTTGTTCATAGGCCAGTGTTGATAAGTCGACGATGAGTCGTAAGCAACGTAAAAGAGGAAGCGCTGCATTTTCTACCTCCGGAGTTGGCGGAGTTGTTTAAAATTGACACAGAGGATGAAGATTTCATTGGATTTAGTGATTAGGGGTGACGCTGATGGTTAGGTAAACGTGTTAGCATGTTCTTTATGCTATCGTAATCTGAATAACTCTTAATAAATTACGTGAATATACCAGACACGTTCTCAGTTCGTTGTTTGTGCGTCATGTTTTCAGCATGACGTCTCTGATCCACTGGTGAAAGGACACTTTGATCCTCTCCTCTTTCATCTATAACTGCTTCAGACAAAAAGTGTATGCAGAAAAGTGGTGAAGATTGCACGACTGTCTTGTGTCCTGTGTGTTGTGTTGTGTTATTTTTGTTATTTTGACTTCAAAATGGCGCCGCGAGAGTGGCTGCCTTTCCAGCAGCTCCTATATTTTGTTGTTCTACTTCTTCCTTTCATAACTTTGCTGCTGTGAATTGGGAATTTCTCCATTGCGAGACGAATAAAGGTTTTCTTATCTTATCTTATCTTATCTCCTACAAACATAGAAATTGAGCACGTGCAACTGCGTTATTCGGCAAACAAAATGTTATTGGGCCGCAAAGTGCACTACGGTGCAAAGCAGGCCGCCGCGCGGCGTGCACGCTAACTCGTGACTCACGCGCTTGTGCAAAGAAGCTTTTCCCGTTTTTATCAGAGCGTGGAGATAAAAGTGCCAGGCCGCTATTCCCACCGGGCGTCCTCCGTTACCTGGAGCGCCTGGAATTTCCAGAGAAGGGCCGTAAATTGCGCCGCCGGCGTTGTCCTCTTCCCTCCTCCCTCTGCTCGCTACAAGAACGAGACAAAGAAGAAGAAGAAGAAGAAGAGGAGCTGGTTGACTTCTGAAAAACACATCCATCACTTTGCTTCTGAGGGAGGATGTGGGGATGATGTGCAGTGCGCGCGCATAAATAAACGGTGGGCGGGCCCGGCCCATGACTTTGTGCAGCAACTTCCCAGATGAAATCAAACCAAAGGCGAAGGTCAATGAAGCGCCCGATCTTCTTTCAATGGTGGCTGATGTTTCTGCTGTCAAAAAAGTGCCTCGCACCAAGAAGAACCCAGTGGCAAAACACTCCACAAAAATGGCCAACATGGTGCCCATGCAATTTTCCGCCCCCCCCCCACCCCCCAAAAAAAGTATGGCTGCGTTGACGTGCTGGTGCGTTTGCACGTGCATTTTGTCCATTGGTTGCATTTCGTTCTCTGTTCTTGAGAACGTCCTCTCCGCCCCCACAAACCCGACGAACGGGAGGTAACACCTTCCGTAAAGATGGCCGACACGGTGCAAGCCCTCAAGGACGGCCGGCGTACGTCAGCACACTCGGTGATGTCGCAGCGGTTGAAAAATGTGCTGAGTGGTCGCCTGCGTGCCTCAAACGTTGCGGTTCAGAATCCGTGTGGTCATCACGAGTCATTTTATGAGGCCCTCTTGAAAGGAAATTCCTCGAGCTGCACTCCTCAAGTTAGAGTGGAAGGGCTGGAATGCAAGGCAATGCAGCTCAAAGGATGGAAAACTGGATGCCGTTCCCGTTCGCTTTCAGAGCAGAAACGAGGAAACAGAGAGGATCGGCACATCGGATGCTAATGCTAAAATGGGGCTGCTTGGAAGAAAACGGGATTCCTTGCGCAGCTAGCTCAAATGCTAAACAACAAGAGCTAATAATAGGTGAAGCTAATAGCAAAAATATCATTTGTTGTTTCCACATCTGTTTTGTATCGCTGAGCTCTGTGTCGCTGTGACACTCAACAAGAGTTCATTTTAAACCAAAATATTAGCCTGTGGACTTCAATGGCAGTGTAATGCTAATCAACCCAAGTTCATGCTAAATGAGGCCGCTAGTAAAATAGGGTTTGCTGCGTAGCCGTGACGCTAAACAACATGAGCTCATGCCAAACAAAGCCACGATTAAAAAGAGGGTTTGTTAACATGGCGTCTTGAATAGAGGCTTTAACGTAGAAAAAAAAAACCTAGTTCATGCTAACTAAACAAGGCTGTTAGTAAACGTTTGCTGTATAGCCTAGTATGAAAAAAAAACAACAAAAACAACATGAACTAAAGCTAAATGAGATGGCAGGCATATAATGCTAAAGGAGACCGCTCATAAAAAGATGGTCTGTTGGCACGTCAACTAACGTAGTTGTTATCCTCAAGCTAAATGAGGCCACTTGATTGTAGCCGTTATGCTAAATAATGCAAATGAATGCCAAATGATGCTGCTAATAAAAAAACTTTTTGTCAGCATGTGAACGTAGTGGTAATGCTAATTAACGCAAACTAATGCTAAAATTGACTGAATATAAACTTTGATGCCAAAACCACAAGCTAATACTAAACTAAGCTAAGTCAGATGAGCTCCTAGGATCGAAACAACCCGAGCTAATGCTAATGCTACAATGGATAAAGGGACTTTTGAGTGACCTTATTTTGACAGATTTTTCAAAATGACATCAGATCTTGAAGCGGGGGAGGGATTATTTTAAAGGGCCGGCGCGGCGCAACACGATCCCGTAAAGCGCCGCCGTAAATCTCCTCCGGGATCGACCTGTTTCTGCTCCCGTTGAGGCCAGCGGCATCCAGATGTTGAAAAACAATTCATCAAGGCATGATCTGAAGAATTTTGATCGTGCAAAGGGAGGACGAGCCCAACGAGCAACAGGAAAGGGAAAAAAAAACAGCTCTTAATCCTGTTGGGAATTTGTTGCTAAATGCAAAACAAACTCGCGGCGACGCCGATGTTAAATCTTTCGTTACGAGGCGAGAGGCGCCGAAATGAGAAGATGGCGCGACGGTGCCCACGTTGCAGCGCAAAAACCTCCATTCTTTGGCTCCTTTCGCGCTGTACGGACGTCCATTTTTCAGGTGCTTGTTATTCAATATATTTGACCGTAATTTCCCTTCATTTTCAACTGGAATACATTTCGGTCAAAATGTTTTCTTTTTTGCACAGTTAGCTCGCAGTGTTCTACCGCGCGGCCCGCAGTCTCCTCACGGATAAAAGGCCTCTCCATACGAGGCCCTCTCATTGCCGTTTGTTAGCGAGTCTCGTTTGGCGTTTTTGCTGTTTCAGGAAAGCTTTTGTTTGGGTGCTGTCCTTTCCCAATAATTATTCTCTCTTACACGCACACAAAGCCCCGACCAAACACACACACGCACACACACACACACACACACACACACACTCACTGGCGCTAAAGGGCCGAATAATCCCTTCACCTATTTGCACAGTGGCCAGACTAGCGCAGGCCTCACCTTCGGGGTAGTACTTAACTCCTGTTGCCACTCGTTGAGTAATGGGAGTATTACAGCTGCCTGCTAATCTGTGTGTGTGTGTGTGTGTGTGTGTGTGTGTGTGTGTGGCCTCACAAGTCGTCAGTGGCCATACGGAGCAAATGAGCACGTCCACCGCCACTTTGCGCCATCGCGTTCATGCGTTGCCTTCGAGACTCTCCCCCCCCCCACCCCCATCCATTTCCATTTGCATTTGCAAGGCTTGAAGCCACTTGTTGCACTTCAAGTCTGTTTGAAAGTTGATGCTCGTCTCTTTTGGCTTTCGGTAAGAAATTTTGGGCCAGTCAGCAATGCAGAGACAACTTGCAGCTTGAGACAAAACAAAACATGTCAAAATGATATTCAATAATTGGATTTTTTTTTTCTCCTTTCACTTTGGACATTTTGCCAGGATCTGGTGCAAACATGAATGTTTTCATTCATTGACTTCTTTTTCATTTTTATTTCCGCTTGCACAATTTGTTTTGGATGAATGACTATTTCGTGATTTTGTAAGAAACAGATATTCAACTATTATGCAAAAACAAAACATTTTTTTTCTTTCTACAACACTGACATTGTTCATTGGCGGCAAAACAAACGAGTGTGCTCACTCACGCGCATGGCAAAATTGTAATTGAAAAAAAAAACGCTCCCCAATTAAAGATGTTGGTGATTAAACTGTTGATGTAAAGCTGGATTTTTTTTTTCCCAAACGCTGCTTGTCCTTGGAATTGCTCGCTCTTCTAAGAACGGAAGGAGAGAATTTGTCCAATGCATAAATGTGGGGGGAGGGGGGGGAGTCTCGCCGGGATGAGGAAGATGGGGAAGATGATGGCGACACTGGGGTTGAGGTGGGGGAGAGGGGGCTCTGTGACGTCACTCACGCCAAGAAAAGGGACGAACCGCCGCACAAGCTCCAAAGCAAACAAGTCGATGCGCGTGAACGCACCGCCGTGCGGGTTGAACGCGCATGGGGGAAGCCTGACATTCCAAATACGTCTTTTTTTAATTATTAATATTTATTATTATTATTATTATTTATTACTCTTCTGCTGGGAGACACGCAACCGGTAAGTTCCAAATATATTAACGCGCTTTATATTTTGAATGTGTATTTTGGTCACTTGAGGGAGTCCGAAGGGTAGTGGAGTGGAGCATCTTCTTCAACATAGGACACCTTTGAAAGTGACTCTAATGGCGCGTGTGCGCGTGGATGCTTCGAACAATTAAAACGTAGCGTTTATTGACTCGTGCGAAATACCGTTGGAATTTATGACAATTTATTGTTCGTCGTTCCATTTTTTTTTTAATCGACACGTTTCGCCTGCACGCAACTTCAACGATATCCGTGGAACATTTCGGGATGCTTTGTGCATCGTCGCACACCCGAGGGGAATATGAAACATCCGAATTCGGGTGTTCGTTTCATTGATTCCAACGTGTATTTCTGCCCCCCCCCCTCCTCCATGCAGGCAGCTGGATTATGGAACTGAGTGTCATCCCACGCGCGGGTGCAGGTACAGGCCGACTCCGAGTGGTTTTTTTCTGGAGTGGCATCACAATTTCGATGCGGTTGCATGCCAAGTCAGCAACTTTGGAAGAATAATCTATTTGGGTTGCTCACACGCGCAAATGTGACAAGACGACGAGTCACAATTTTTTTTTCACCACTCGATTTCTTTCACTTTCCGGAGGGATACGGATTTTTATCGGCCATTTTATCCGGGGCGGGGAGGATCGAATCATCCTTTCCATATCTAATAGCGTTTATTCTGTCAAACTCGTAAAAACACCATGAAAGTATTTCTAGAAAACACAATCAACATTTTGGAGCATTTGGCCCTCAGATTTGCGCTCGTCTGGAGTTTATTTTTGCACCAGCCAACATGCAGTCAAGTAATCGGATGGTTAAAAAAGAAAGGGGAAAAAAAACGATCACCAAGGTAATAATCAGCGGTGTCCTTCTCCTGTTACGCGCCAGGCGGGCTCCACTTTCCGCCGAGTGCTTTTCGCTTTTGTTTGGGAAACTTTTTTTTTTTTTTTTTTTGCAAAACATGCGCGCGCGGCCTTTTCGCTTATTTGCACTTCTCGGCCTGCAGCGACGCCGACCTCTGACCCGCCGGTGCCGGTGGCGCATGCGAGCCTTGTTGAAGCCATCCATCACATGCAGGCCGAGTGGGATGCGGGAGCGCGACGACTGCAGGGAGGCGGACTGTTTACACGAGCGCCCATCTATCAGCCTGCAATAACCGCGCGAGAGGAAACGACTCGTGTCAATCCTGCGGGATTCCCTCGAGCGAGCGCCTTCATTAGGCCAGTCATGAAGTGGAAGTGCTACTAAGACGTCAGCTGGCGTGCTAGGATGCATGGGGGGCTGGGGGGGGGGGGGTCAATCGAACCTAAAATCGGAAGTCTACGGTAGATTGAGCCGTGCGTAATTGCTCGTCACGCAGCACTTGCAATTTAATAGTTCGGGTGCATTTGCATTTTGACGCTAAATACAGAGCATTCAAATCGAGATTTATGACAAAAAAAATTATCGCCTTCTTGGTCGCTTTTGAGAGCCATGCGCGCGTCATCTTTACGCAGAGTGGATTTTGACAGCTTGTCCTGCATTGAAGGGCCTTGGGGGGACTTTTCCGGTCCAACTACATAGGATCCCCCCCCTCCCCCGCCAAAAAAAAAGTCTTGCAAGAGGAGTCGTGGCGCCGATGACGAGCCCAGTCGATGCACGTTGACATGTCGCACATGCGGCCAGACAATAGTCTGTCTAGTGACTAGACTAAACTCAAGTCGCAGTGTTTCCCAACCTTTCTTGAGCCAAGGCACATTTTTTGGGCGTTAGAAAAATCGCACGGCACACATTTGTCAATTTTATACTTTTTGCCATCTAAGCGAAGGTCAATTATTTGTTCTTTCTGTCACTATAAGTTGCTGTCATAGATAGATGGACAAGGATACATTATTCGTTATTTCTAAATAATATTCTCACCAATTAAGTGCAATTTGATTAGTTCCCGCGGCGAGCTAAGGTGCCCCCCCACCCCCGCCACGCTGATTGGGAATCGCTTTCAAAAGTGGTGCGTTTGAAGGGTAAAAAAAAATGAACGAGCTAAGCATCAAATACCAATCAAGCAGTGCGTGCATTTATGGAATAGTGCAGAGGTTCTGTGTCACTTTTTAATTCAAGTCTCAGTGCCCCCCTCCAAAGAAAATAATTATCTAGCTCTCCAAGTACAAATAACTTAACATTCAAATATCCCGAGCATAAAGGCCTAACTCGTTCTGAAAAACAAGACACAAGTTGTCATCCTGAAAGGGGAGTATTATAGGAAAAAAGTTGTATTTTGACATCAGTTAAATCGTCCCCCCCCCCTTGAATTTTTGTCTTAAATTAAAGGCCACGATGCACGCAACGGAGCGAGGTCAAAAATGATGTTCACTTGGAAACTGATTAGTCAAGTAGAAATATTGACATTAACTATTGCGAACGAAAAGAGTGATGGACGTTTCGATTATATTGCTGATCATATGTTCGACCAAAGTGGACATATTTTATAAAGTTCGAGTCAGAGAGCGAACCCACGTTCCATTCGCTGAACGTTTAATACACTCCGATAAACATAAGTTGGCATTCACAAAAAAAGAAGAAAAAAAAGTAACGGTGAGTTCAGTGTCAGAAAAAAAAACTGAATTCATGTACAACACCACCGTCAAATTTCAAAACGTCACCCGAAATTAAACGCCGTACGCAAACCTGAGTCGGGTGTAAATGTTACACTCAGTAACCGTTCAATAAAATCGGATAAATCTCAGCTCAGCATTCATCACTCCCCCCGCCCCCCCCAAAAAAAATGGTTAAAATGAGTACAAAGTAGTCCCAAAAAGTATCATTCAAAAAAGGCCCGCTCTGAAGCGATGCATGCTCGATGGAAACGCTCCAAACGGCAAGCGAAACACAGAAAGGGGTCACATGGAAATGGTGCATTCAGTGACCGTTCAATAAAACGCGATACAACCAAGCTTAAGCCTGGGCTTTACTTCTACAAACAGCAGGTCAAAAGTTACAACGAGTTCAACAAAGTCATAAAAAAAGTTGTAAAAAAAAAAAAAACATCTGAGGAGGTGCGTTCAGGGCCCGCTCGATAAAGTTGGCTATTCAGTGGCGAAACCTTGACGTCACACGCAAATTTCTCCAAAAACAGCACCGCGTGTTGTCACCGAGGAGGCTTGGGGGGGGGGGGCGCCTTCTGGTGCAGTGGGACAAACTCAGACTTCCGCGCGAACAGGTGGCATGGTTGGCACGGTTTAACGTTGCGTTCAAGCGCGCCTCGATTACAAGTGTGAGCTGGTCGTAAAATAAACACTTGGTGCTCATCTTAAACGGAATCTGGAAGCGCTGTCATCAAAGACGTTTCGGAAAGATTAAGGAAAAAAAAAAGATTTGATTCTTCCTTAAAAAAATGTCTTATGCGAGGTTAGTGGCGCATTTGGGCACGACGATGTAAAACTGGACATTTTGTGCACTTGGAAGTAAATGTGAAATATACTTAAATTAACACTTATAGTTAAAAGTCGGCTCTATTATTGAAATGGTAGAAACTACAATCAGGAAAGAAAAAAAGAAAGTTTTCCTGAAAAGAAAAATAAGACGTAAGTGGTGGCCTCTGGCTCAAAATGGACATTTGGGCACTTGGATGTCAAGGTGAAAAACAAAAACTTGGGTAAACATTTAGAGTAAAATAAACATTTAGAGTCAAATAAAGGCTATATTTTATGCTTGATATAAATCGCGACGATATGAAAAGATTGTTCCTGAAAATAGGTCAGTGAGGCTCGCGGTGCATTCGTAAAAGGTGGATATTTGGTCACCCCGATGTCAACGCGAATACGAATCATACTTGAACATTTACAATCAATTTAAAAAAATGTTTTAAGATGAATTATCCTCGTTTCTCGAACACAAATAAATACACTTGAACACACCATTTCTTGGACTGAAACGTTCGTGTAAAGGTGGCATGTGACGCATTCAAGGACATCGGAATAAAATTGGGAAAAAACCTCGCCGTGACCCCTGTTGGCATTTATTGGAGCTAATTGTTTACTCGCGGCACAAAAAGGTCAACGGGGGATGCGATAACGCACGCAGGCCGACAGCCGCGCACTCGCCCGTACGCGTGCACGCCTCCAACTCTTACGATGCGTTTGTATCGATTGACGAGGGAAACAGTAACCGGGCAAGCCCGTTTGGAGGGCAAATGTTTGCTCAGCTCAGCACATACACGCTTATATACGGGCCGTGTTGTGTGGCGTGGCTGCGTGGGTGTGCGATTGCTCTGCACACATTACAAGCATGCCTACGCTGGAAGAAGTTTAAAAAAAAAAACCTCGTATTGCATCGGAATGACAGCGTTCTTCATGTGGATTCTGCGGGCGAATCCGCATTTGCGTGGGAGTGTTTTTGTTCCACGCTAACTTTAAAAAAAACAACCAAATAAGTTGCTGATTTGCGCGTTGCTCACTTTTAGGTCTAGTCTGGTGACGTCACGCTCGGGGCAGGCTCAAGCGTGGGCGGGGCAGCGTGAATTTGGTCCCACGCAAGCGGAGCTCGACCTTCTTCTCCTTCACTATGGTCACGACTCGCGTGGACGGAGCTGCGGAGAAAACAGAGAATTGCTCCAAGTTGCCCTTTTTTTTTTGTTTTTTGTTTTGTTTGTTTTAGGATTCTAGAGGAGCCTTAGTCTCTCCTTCCCTCCCATGTCGCCACGCGCGTCCGCTTCGGCGTGGACTTTTCTGCGCCTCGCTTCGTCGGACCCACGCGCGGCGCATGCATCTGCATCGCGCGGCTGACTCGTCTGCATCCCTCCTTGTAATCTCCTCCAAGGTGTCATGAATTTGGAGAGACTCTCCGAGGCCGCGGCGGCGGCGCGGGTCCACGCCAATCCGAACCCCCCTCCTCCTCCTCCTCCTCCTCCTCCTCCTCAGGCGTCACGCGACGTGGGCCCCGCGTTCCACTTGCAGCCCAGAAGCTCCAACATCAACACGAGCGCTCGCGGAGGGACTTTAGAGCACTCGAGCAGCGAGTCTTCCGACGCCGAGTTGGCAGGTACACCCGAGGAGGGTTGGGGTGGGGGGATCCGTGGCGAATCGTTGCAAATGACGTCACTGTGCACGTTTTTCGGACGACTTACTAAAACAGTGACAATTATATTCAGAGAATATTATACCGCCACGTCCAAGGAGGACTGCAAAACGTTCTGTTACAAATGTTCGGAAATGTGCTTTCTGTTTTGCTTTTTGGAGGGGTGGGGGCAGTTTGGTGGAGTTTATTGGCGAGCGTTTTCAGGAGTAGATTAAAAAAAAAAAAACATTCAAAAGTGCTTCTGCCAAGACATCTTACATCGCTGAGCTGTCATTTCAAAATGACCCCACACGCATTTTTTTTCGTCATCGTAATTGCAAATATTTAACATGGCGCTGCGTGATGGGCTTCATACAGGGGAAAAGAATCTTGGGAAATGGGGAATATTAAAATGTCGTTTAAGGGAGGCGGAGGTCATTTTGTTCGTTGGTTCAATTAGTTTGTTTTTAGGGGAGGCGGTGCGTGAAAGCTGAAAAAAGAAATCCTTGTTCGGGGGGCCGTGTGACTTGGTAACACGTTTGACGGCACGTTTTGAGGCCGCAAAACAGCCACGACAACAAAGTAACGTCTCATTTAGCGTGCAGGGAACAGTCGTTTTTTTTTTTACAACCAACTTCAAAACACAAAGAGCACTCAATTTGAACTTGGAGTCGAGTTTGGAAAGAAAAGCAGTTCTCAATTTGCGAGCATAGCCCAAAAGGCTCGTCCGGTTCTGAGCAGCACGAGGGAGAACTGGACTCGCGTCCGTAGACGTGACGTGTTTTTTTGCGTTTCGGTTTTTCGACAACGGCCTGCGCCGAGTCAAGCGCCTTCAAAACGAGTTGAAAGCTTTCGAAAGACGCCGATGAGAGCACGACCGCGTTCCCGGCTGGGCAACGAGCGCTCGGCGCGGGCATGTTGACCCGAGCCGCCGTTTCGTCACGGCGCCGCAAAAAGCAAAAGTGAAAAACCTCGAGAGGCCGGCCAGTCCACCTTCGAAAAGCTCAGGAAGCTGACTCGCATGGGCGCTTATTTTATTTTTTATTTTTTTGCTTTGTCTTTTTTTTGCTGGCGGGCACGCAGCGGAGAAGGAGCGAGCAGACGACGCCAAGAAGAAGAAGCAGCGGCGGCAGCGCACGCACTTCACCAGCCAGCAGCTGCAGGAGCTCGAGGCCACCTTCCAGCGCAACCGCTACCCGGACATGAGCACGCGCGAGGAGATCGCCGTGTGGACCAACCTCACCGAGGCCAGAGTTCGGGTCAGTTCGCTCGCTTTGCCTCCGTCGATCCGTTCGTCGTCGCCGCCGAGACAATCCGCACGTCGAATGACAACTTGCATGGGGGGGACGATTTGCAATGTGTGTTTTGGGAAAGTAGAGAAGCAGAAATTCGTGCTACGTCCGCCTCAAACTGTTCCCCGATTTAAAACAACAACAACAAAAACGACGTGCTGTGGGAGCAATATTTTGCTGCGAGAGCATTTAACACCAAACTTTTTGCGAAAGACAAAATGATGCAGTTTGCCGCTCCAATTTTGCGATGACGTGACGTCACTCGGGGGATATTTTGGGGAGGAATATTTCTCAGAATTGAGAGCAGGCACAACAACCAACACGAACCATGAGCGCACTTCTTTGACCCCCAAAGCGCAAATGCTCCAGAAATTCTTTCGCTGGACTTTTCGCAAAAAATCTAAACAAACGAGGAGGACTTATTCAAATGCAACATTTTCGTCGCTGCAACACCTCAAAGGTGGCAACACCGAGCGGTCACTTTATTAGGCACACGTGGCGTCGCGTTTTGTTGATCGTGAAACGTGCAAAAAAAATGGACGTCAGCATATTGCACTTCTCGGCCACAAAAAATTGACAGCAGGGCGATTGTTTTTTTTTTTTTTTTTTTTTATGACGTCGGCACGAGGAGACCAAGTTGCGCAGAATTATCACCATCGCAATAATGATGCAAGAAAAGTGCCCACTATTTGTCGTTTCAATTTTGAGCTCGTTTCACACAACTTGATGTTGTTGATCTCGAAACGCGTTTTAATTGACAGCAACCGGTGCTCCAAGTGTGTATTCTTCATATCTCGATTTAATTTTGAAATGGACACAGTAGGTCTTTTTTTTCTAAGCCACATCTTTAATCTCTGCTCCAAATGCTTTTCACACTGAAATAAAAACAGCGTGTCGAATTAACTGCACTTGAATTTGTCAAGAGGTAGCGCTAAATGAAATGGACCCAGATGCATTTTTTTTCTCATCTTCCACTTGAAACGTGTATCAAAATGCAGATGATTTGATTTGAGAAATTTAAATGGGATCAATGCAACATTTTTTTTCAGTGACTTCAGTCTGCAACGTGACAACCCGAATCAAAAGTTACAAATTAGCTTTTGGCTTGACAACGACCCACTAACCTAGTCGAGAAGAAATGCGACGAGAAACGTTTTTTTCAGCGCCTTCAACTCGTTTATTTCGCGAAGGCTCATAAATAAATCGCGTTTTGGCCAGCGCGGCATTTGCCCTAATGAATTGCTGGTGAGAACATACACTGGTGCTGATTTATATGAGGTTTCAAAAAAAACAAATAAATACAAAAAGCCCCCATCTGCATTTCAATCCCACAACATCGAAGTGTGCGCAAATCAATTCTTCTATTTGGAATTTATAGTCAACCGGTTTGAAGAGCTGCTGGAGGCGCATTCACTTGAACGATTTATTGCCAACAACAACAACAACAACAATAATAATCAGATTTTTTTTTGTCAAGGCTCGTGTCCGCTATATTGACAAGTGTACCTAATCAAGTGCCCCAATGTCAAGGGAGAATGTGCATTCACAAATGTGACCTCATCTAATGAGACGAAGGCATTTTGAGACATGCCCAAAATTTTAGAGGGTGGCATGTGTGCCGAATATTTTTTTTCTTTGAGATATCGACAGAATTTCGAGTGGCAGCGATCGAGCCACATTTTAAAGTGTGCTCGCATGTTTACCTAAAAAAAAAAAAAAGAAACGCATGCTTTTTTTTTTTAATGGTAGCTCTTCGTTGGTGTTCGTAATTATGAAGTTAACCCTCGTCGTGCATATTTTGGGACGTGGGTGGCGCGTAAAAAACATTTTTTTTTGGGGGGGGGCACGCATTGTGTGACTTTTCCAATGAGCGCGCGTGTTTTCAAGTGTAGCGATTAAAAGTGGCAAATAGAGGAGTTTGAAAAACGGTTTCTTGAATTATTGGCCATTTCGGAGTCGCGTGTGTCTGCGTGCGTGCGCCCCTCAAGGCGAGGGGGCGTCCGCTGTCCACGGTCCGGTGAGTGACGCTGCGCATGCGCGGCTGCTTGCAGGTGTGGTTCAAGAACCGCCGAGCCAAGTGGCGGAAGCGCGAGCGCAACCAGCAGATGGACCTGTGCAAGAACGCCTACCTGCCGCAGTTCGGCGGCCTGGTGCAGCCCTACGACGACATGTACCCGGCGGCGGCGGCCGCCTACACCTACAACAACTGGCCCAACAAGAGCCTGCACGGGCCCAAGAACTTCCCCTTCTTCAACTCCGTCACGCAGTCCGTGTCGGGCATGTTCTCGTCGTCGCCGGCGCCCATCTCGGGCATGAGCGTGCAGGCGGCCGCCGCCGCCGCCGCCGCCACCATGCCCGGCATGGGCGGCCCCCCCGCGCCGAGCCTCAACAACATCGGCAACCTCAACCCGCCCGGCCTGAACGGCGCCGGCATGTCGTCGCCGGGGTGCCCGTACGCGGCGGCGGCGGCGGCGGCCGCTGCCGGCTCGCCCTACGGGGTGTACCGGGACAACCCGGGCCTGGCCACGCTCAGACTCAAGTCCAAGCAGCACCACCACCACCACCATCACCACCACCCCACCTTCGGCTACGGGGGCCTGCAGAGCCCCGCCTCGGGCCTCAACGCCTGCCAGTACAACAGCTGACCCCGCAAGTCGCCGCACTTGTTACGATGTACGGACATCCCATGTAAATAGAGACAGGCTTAACGCGTGCAAAATTGTCGGGTCCCCCCCCCCAACCCAACCCAACCCACCCTCTTGGTGCTGA